GATATGGTATTTATGAACCTCAAGAAAGAAAAAAATAATTAGGAGTATTCCTCTTCAACTGCTCGATTCAAACAAGAAATCACACTTTAGATATAATAGCAAGAGCTAGAGGGGCCGGCCCGTGGCTCACATGGGAGAATGTGGTGCTGATAACACCAAGGCCACGGGTTTGGATCCCTATATAGGAATGGCCAGTTAGCTCACTTGGGAGAGTGTGGTGCTGACAACACCACGTCAAGAGCTAAGATCCCCTTACTGGTCATCTTTTGAAAAAAAAAACTTGGATTTGATGTTGCCTTTAACTACAAGATAGTAGAGCCTTTGGAAGAAACTTTGAAAAAAGCCTCTCCTGATAGTTATGATTGTTATTTTGATAATGTAGGTGGAGAGTTTTCAAACATGTTATCCCCTAGATGAAGAAGTTTGTAAGGGGCTCTAGGCATTGCTCAGAACCCATACCAGTGAGGGGAGAGAGAATGATTGATGCTGATAACCTCCTAGGCCTGGGGAACCATGGGACCCCTCTGCTTCAACGCCAAGGCTTGTACTTGCTCTGGCCCTCAACAAGGAACTCACCTCTCAAAGGATGTGCACAGAAATGGTTTGTTCTTGGGAAGAAATCCAAGGTGTTTTGGACATTTAACTTACCAGGTAAGGTTGCCTACAGGCAAGAGGAGCAACAGGATGTCTCTGACAGGACTAGACTCACTGATGGTGGCCTGTGAGGCCCCTGAACAAGCACTTCTTAAACAATCATAATATATTAGGTTCTGATTATTGCAAAATATTATTTGAAAATGCATAATGCAATATTATTTATACACCAGCGTTATAGCTATGGAACCTATATGCATATGAAAAGACTAGAAATAAACATAATGAAATGGTAAGAGAGGGATTTAAGTATTTTTCCTCCTATCTTCCAAAATTCTGTAACGTCATCTTATTAATTTTATAATTAAGGACATCAATTTAAAAAATAAAAATAAAATAATAGGGGTTATATTGAATAGCTTTTATACTTCAAATTACCATATGTTTAAGAGCATTGAATTCCTCAGAACTTAAACACTACTCAAATACACAGTATGATTAATGTAAGTGCAAATAACTTGAAAATACTTTCTATTTTCATCATTATGACCAAAAAGGTTCCAAAAAGAATTCAATAAAGTAATATAGTAAATGCCCAGATTCATTCATTAATTCAATAACAACATACCAAAAACCTACTATGCACTGAGCACTATTCAAGATGCTATCAGGAATACGGATAATTTTACTATAAGGTATCTACATTCAAGGACTCCTCATGTAATTGGGGATAGTACAAATCTAATTGGGGAGAGTACAAATTCACACTTAGAAAGTTAAAATGAACATGAATTAAAATAAGGACTGTAATTGGGAGCAGGACAATGATGTCCCCATCCCTATTAATATTTAACATAGTAACTGCAAGTCCTAGTTGGCGCCAAAAGACATGAAAAAGAAATGAAGTATGAGGAATCAAATGGAAGAAACTAAACTTAATGCACACAGATGAAAGAGAACCCAAGAGATTCCAAATCACTGACACAAGGAAATTCGGTGAGATATTCAGTATTAAGATCAAAATACAAAAATCAACTGTGTTCTTCCATACCAGCAATAACCACCTAAACAATAGCAGAAAACAAGATAGCATTTACAATAACTATCTAGCATGTACAACAAAAAGTACAAAGAACTTCCATTAACATATCAAAGACTGCAGCAGACTGAAACAAATACATTTTAAAAATTTTATTAAAAGATGCAAAAATTTGGGCCGGCCCGGTGGCGCACTGGATAAGTGCACCGCTTGGGAAGCGCAGCGGCGCTCCCGCCCGAGGGTTCAGATCCCACATGCAGACCGGTTCCCGCTCACTGGCTGAGCGAGGCGTGGGAGCAACGCCGAGGGTTGCAATCCTGTTGCCGGTCCCCGGTCCGGTACGGGGGCAACACTGAGGGTTGTGATCCATTGCCGGACACGGAAAAAGACAAAAGACAAAAAAAATAAAAAATAAAAAATAAAAAATAAAAGATGCAAAAATTTGACTAAATAGATAAATATATCATTTTAGAGATGGAATGACTTAACACTATGAAATTATTAATTCTCACATTAATATGCAAACTCAGTGCAACTCCAGTCAAAACCTAGCAGAATTTGCATGAGGGGTAAAGTAATTCTGAAATAATTTTTAATATACAAAATTTTAAAAGGACAAAATAAGAAATTCATCCACAGATATTAACATACATTATAAAGCCATAATAATAAAAACAGTATGGTACTAACTGACAAACTGACCAATGACAAAGGATGAGGAGAACAGAAAGACCCATATACGTATGGGAATGAGGCATGTGATAGAAGTGGTACTCCAAATCAGAAGGAAAAAGATGGATTATTTAACAGATGGTGCTAGAAAATCCAATTTACCATATAGCAAAAAAAAGCCTGGTCTTTCCATGATTTATAAAAATAAACTTAAAATAATTAAAGCCGTATCTCTGTAAGATAAAATTATAAAGCTAATAGAAGAAAATACAGAACAATATCTCTGTTACCTATGGTGAAGAAGGATTTCTTTCATAAAGACCCAAAACCCACCAACCATAAGAGAAAAACTGATTAGTTTGACTATAACAAAATTAAAGATTTCATATCAACAAAAATTAACTTTAACAAGAGAGGTGACAGTCTAAGAGAAAGGATTTGCAATACCTAAAACCTACAAGGTGTTACTATTGAAATCTTTGACAAATCAGGAGAAAAAAACAGAAAACCCAATAGAAAAATGGGCAGAGGATGTGAATAGGTAATTCACAAAAAGAGAAATCTGAATGACTATAAATATATGAAAAAATGTTCCACCTCACTAGTAATCAGAGAAATGCGATTAAAATAAGAAGCATCTCACATACATGAGAAAGTCAGGAATACCAAGGGCTCAGGAGATGTGAGGAAGCTGGAACCTTGAGTATTGTTGCAGGGAACATAAAGTTGGACGCCACCTCACTAGTAATCAGAGAAATGCGATTAAAATAAGAAGCATCTCACATACATGAGAAAATCAGGAATACCAAGGGCTCAGGAGATGTGAGGAAGCTGGAACCTTGAGTATTGTTGCAGGGAACATAAAGTTGGACAGCTATCTGGAGAGCAATCTGGCAGTACTTAGTGAGATTAAGTAAGCCTACAGGTCTATATGTGATCCTACTCCTAAGTGTACACTTCAGAGAAATACACCCTTATACAGTAAGTCTCTGTACGGAAAGTCTCTGTACAGACAATACAAAGTTGTTCTCACTGGGGTAGCAAGAAGTTGGAAAAGTAGCCAACACTAGAGGTGCTAATTATTACCATACTGTCTCGCAACAATCCACCCTTCTCTACTCAGCATTATGATGCTGGGGCTGAGAATCTGTAGGCTACACTTATCATTTGCCAAGTGGCTCCCTGTTGGCTCCCACTGGCAGAACTAACAGGGAGAAGGAGATTAGAAGTAAGAACATGAAGGAAAATCTTCCTTCCTGTTTTACCTGCTCTTCACATCAGTGATGTAACAGGAAGAATTCTGTGTTGAACATGTCAAATTTGAAGTGATAATGAATATCTACGTGAAAATAAAGACTCTAAAAATTGCATATTGTTAATTCTCTACTGAGTCCTTCATTCTATATTATCTTTTGTCTGACAAGTTCAAAAACCAGAAATGAGATACTAGGTAGGGAAGGGAGGAACAGTGTTCTGTCACTTTCTACAGGTGCTACCTTTCTGATCATTCTAAATGCAATTGCAATTATGACTCTCTTCTGTCTAAAACTTTTCAGTGGCTTCACGATGCACTTGGAGAAAAAAACCAAAAAACAGCCTAATTCCTTAGTATATCCTACCAGGTCTTATATAAATCCGGCCTCTTCCTACCTCTCAGTCTCACCTAATCCGCTCTACCACTCTCTCTCTCTCTTTCAAGTATGAAACCTATTTATACAAGAAGAGGCCCTCCTAGCCTCAGTGCCATCAGTCTAGAAGACTGGTCCCAACTTCTTCCCTCATCCCTATTCTTCCCTTACCTAGACAATGCCCACTTATCCTTCAATTCTCTAATTAGGGACTTCTGCTTCAAGGAAGATGGATTTTTCCCTATTCCTCCTGCTAAGTAAACTAAAAACTTTTAAACTATATTTAGAACAAATATAAGAAGACTCTGAAAGGTAGAGAGAAGAAAGAAAACTAGCTATAGACGTTTGGACATGAGGAACAACACAATGGTAAATTCCATGGGTTTTCACTTTACCTTGTATATTCCAGACATGAGGCCAAAGAAGCTGGCAACTAGAAATGCCAATAGGCACACACAAAAACAACTCAATCAAGGCCTGCTCTCTCTAGCCAATGGACCAAGAAAGAGGTAGCCTAGCATGACACAAAACTTTCAGGCAATACCACCCTACTCCAGCCAATACCCCAGAAAAAAGCTGTAATCCCACTACCACCCATATGTCAGAGGTCCAGTAGGAAACCAGAACTTTCATCCCCACTGGTAGTAATGAGCCCCCACCCTGCATCACGGTGTCAATGACAACTTGGGAAGCCTGAGTAACTATCGCCATACCCAATATGACAGTAATGAAGTGCCCCTACCCTGCCTACTACTGTGGTATCACTGGAGACCCACTAGGGAGCTAGAATTCATACCCTTGCCCAGCAATAACAAAAAGAACCCCTTCCTCAGGTGTCAGTGGAGCCCACTTGGGGAACTTAGACTTCTACCCTGACTTGGCAGTAACAAGGTGGAGACCTTTCCCTCTCTTTCCCCTGCTAGAGTAGATTTAAAAGAAGCCAGCTAAAACAGAAGACTTCAATAAGATCCAAGGAGCAGAGTAGTGCAAAAGAAGCATGCTAAGCCCATGAATAATACAGTTTCATAATGTAATACCTACAACCTCCAGCTTTCAATTGAAAAATCACTTATACCAAGAACTAAAAAGATCCCAAACTGAATGAAAAAAGTCAATCAACAGAGACCAACACTAAGATGACAGAGATGTTAGAATTATCTGACAAAGTTTTAAAGCAGCCATGTAATGCTTCAATGAGCAATTAAGAACATGCTTGAAACAAATGAAAAAACAGGAAACCTCAGTAAAGAAATAGAAGATATACAGAAAAATCAAGTGGAAATTTTAGAACCAAAAAAACACAACCAAAATAAAAACTCAATGGAATGGAGGGGACAGAGGAAAGAATCAGTGAATTCAAAGATAAAAGAATAGAAATTACTCAGTGTGAACAGCAAAGACAAAACAAACTGGGGAAAAAAAAATGAACAGAGCCTCAGGGATCTGTAGGACTAATAATAAAAGAGCTTACATTCATGTCATCAGAGTCCCAGAAGGAGAGGAGAAAGATGGAATGGCTGAAAAATTACTCGAAAAAATAACAGGTAAACAATCCCCAAATTTGGCAAAAGACAGAAGCCTAAAGATTCAAGAAGCTGAGCAAACTCCAAACAGGATAACTCCAAAGAAATCTATACCAAGACATATCAGGGTAAAATTTCTGAAAACTAATCAGTTTAGGTCCCAGTTAACTGCTAATTATTCTTCCGCACTATGCTTAAATTAGACTCTCCTAATATGCTATCCCATTGCACACTGTACTTTTCTTCCATAAAACCCACTGCATTCGGAATTAACTTGTTCAACATTCATCTTCTCCACTAAACTAAAAGTTCTATGAAGGCAGGGACTTGGTCATTGGTACAGCCAGAACACTTAACACGGTGTCTACCAAATAAAAAGTGCTCCATTAATATCTGTTGAATGATGAATGAATAAATGATTCCTCTTTTAAAAAAGTTCTTTCTTTGTAGAGGATTCTTAAAGCAAATGTACTTCACAGAGCCTGGTTTTCCAAAGCCTTGCAGTTTCAAATATTGACTTTGCGGAGGACTGGAAATTTTCCTCAGGTCTCTGGTATAAGATAAAGATTTGTAACACAGCAAGGTTGCTGGCTCAAGGACAGAGACGTTACTGATTCAAATGTAAAGATACTGAAAATTTTCTGGAGGGAGAAGGAATGTTTGCTAAGATCAAGCTTTTGTTGATAGGACCACTTAATTGCCTTACTGGAATGTCATCTGGCTTGTTTCACTGAAAGTTACCAGCCTATACTGTTAAATTATAACCCCACCTATGTTCTCTTCCTGTAATTTCCTGGTCTGGAAAATAAATGCAGGAAGAGAACCCCAATTTGGGGTTAATTTCCCAAGGAAGGGATGCCTCTCACTTGAAGGTTCTGGCTGGAGATTAACCACTTCGGGGTCTCTCACTGCTCAGAAGAGATGGGCTTTGAGTAATCCTTTGCATCTCCATCACCCAGGAGAAGTGGGGTGACAAATCCGTGGGGGGCAAAGCAACACTTCTTAACTACCAATCTATTGTGTCCTTTTCTCTAAGCTGTTCCAGACTTACCTCTTGATCCATTGTGATTTCTTCCAGGTTGGCCTACCCTTACCTTATTAGTTTGTAGAATTCTTGCATGAAATGCAGCAGGCCAGGCATGAAGCAACAGATAAGCATAGGAGCGAATGGCATACACTGGAGAATATTCCCAAGTCTGAAACCCCTTCCCATAGATGAGGTAGTGTGTCTATAAGTACAAAACAGATAGATTCAAGATTATACTAGCCAAAAATCCCTGTTAAGAGAATGTAGGTAAAGTTGCTGAGTAGAAATATTAAAGAGACAACAATAAACAAAAATGCTGAAATTCTCGACAAGATTTGCAACTAATGGATAAGAAAAGAATAAAAATGACACAGTATTAAAAATATTAAGACATTATAAATTCGACAAGATTGCTGTTTTGTCAACATTGAAAACTTGAATTTTCCCTCTACTTACTTTTTTAAAACAGTTTTTAGCCAAAAAAGAAAACTTCTAATCTTGTATTTTCCTTAAACTACCTACACTAAGCATTCTTCACTTTTTTGAGGCAAAATGTGTTGTAAAATTTTACCTCTGAATTTTCTATAAGAGGAAGTCAACAGATAATATATAAATGTATAAATCAAGAAATAGCAGTGTAAGAATACATACTATTTAAGAACATTGTTTATTTTGGTAAACGTCAGAAAAAATAACTTAAAGAGGCTGGCCCGTGGCTCACTCGGGAGATTGTGGTGCTGGTAACACCAAGGCCACAGGTTCGGATCCCATATAGGGATGGCCGGTTAGCTCACTAGGTGAGCATGGTGCTGACAACACCAACTCAAGGGTTAAGATCCCCTTACTGGTCATCTTTAAAAAAAAAAAAAGAAAAGAAAAAAGAACTTAAAAAATCAAAAGAAAATGGTTGCCTCTTGGGAGTGAGATTTGGACATGAGAAGCAGAACAGGGAGCTACTGTTTTTCTCTTAAGTTTTGCAGTAGTTAACTTTTTTTAAAAAAAAAAGTTAAAGTATAATTGATTATACATATTTGTGGGGTACAAAGTCAACCATCAATAGTGTGTACAATAGGGCCAACCCCGTGGCGCACTCGGGAGAGTGCGGCGCTGGGAGCACAGTGGCGCTTCGGCCGCGGGTTCAGATCCTATATAGGGAAGGCCGGTGTGCTCACTGGCTGAGCGCGGTGCGTACACCAAGCCAAGGGTTGCGATCCCCTTACCGGTCACAAAAAAGACAAAAAAAAAAAAAAAAAAAATAGTGTGTACAATATGCGAAGGTCAAATCAGAATAGTTAGCTTATTTATCATTACAATACGTAATCATTCTTTGTATCCTTAACCAATTTCTCATTAATTTCCATTAACCCCCTTTCCCTCCTCCTCCCCCTTTCCACTTCTAGCAGCCACAGTTGTTCTTTCCTAAAAGTTCAAGTAGTTGTTAACTTTAAAAACTATTTCCAAGTATTATTTTGATTAAAACATTTTAAAAGAAAATTACGAATTACACCTATGAGTAAACCAGCCAAATTCCCTCAGTCTTCAATAGTAGGTAAATCATCTGCTTAGAATACAAAAGTGAAAATAATTATTTTGCTAGAAGTCACACTCGTATATTATCTGTATCGTGATTGGTAATAAGTTCCAAACAGCAAAATCAAGAACAACAACAAAAAAAAAAACTAAAGGAATCACCTACTGGTTCCCAGTAGTTGAAAGTTTCATCACAGTCAGAGATGTTGCTCAGAAGAGCGGCACATAACCTTGCTGAAAGCAGACACTTGAAAGCAGTAGATCCTTCAGGTGCCCAGACTTGTCCTGCTTTGTTTCCAGATAACCTGTTCAGAAGAAAGAAAAAAAAAAAAGTACGTGTCAAGAAGGACCTACTAACCAAAAGGACAAGAAAAGCGAGGGACATCAAAGCACTTAATTTATTCTCCTAAAAAGGTGAACTGTTAGTTGTTCTTCCTGAGCGGAATGAATAAGGAAAAAATTAAGACTTTAAACCCTCCTTCCAGTTCCTGCTTTTACGGCATAAGTTAATTCGTACACTTTAGCTTGTTGCATCTACGACATTCCATTTATCCCAAGACAACTAATCACTCACTTGAAGTCCACAAAGCTCTCATTCTACTTTTCTTTCCTCTCTTAACAAGGTCATTACTTTCCATGGCTTTATTCATTTCCCCATATGTTCAAATTAGTAGAGGCCTAATATGTGCAAGGTACATAACCTGTTCCAATTCCACACGTTGACAACTGCTTTAGTGCAGGTCTAACCTGCAGTCTCCTGGGCTTGGGGAGAGGTGATTGCAGGTGCTGGAGGTTGGGGGGCCCACACAGAAGAGTAAAGTGTTGAGACTTCTGGGGGAATGAGAGAAACTGTGAGAAACAACCTTAAAAGGTATACTCTTTGCTCCTGCCAACGTCTCCCACAGAGGCTCTGCCAACTCTAACACCACGGAGCCAGCCCACGCTGAGCCTGGGCCTGAAGCTTCAGAGACCCGCACTCCAAGGTTTCTTTACGAGAGAATGGACCCGGGGTGGAGGAATCTAAGGCGGGGCGCAGACCTAACGCCGACCGCCCAGGAGGTGCAGAAGGACCTGGCTGAAGTGGGACCCACGGCCGCCGGCGGCGACGCCCGGCCGCCCTAACCCGAGCGGCGCGGACGAAACCCTCCGCGGGGCAGCCCCGAGCGGCGCCACCCGGACAGCCACGCCCCCGCCGCGTCCACACACGTACTCGGTCCGGTGCTCCGCGCCGCCCGCCTCTCGGCCGCAAGGCAGCTCCTGCTGTACGGCCAAGGCGGATGGCTGCCGCTGCTGCCGCCGCTGCCCCCGCTACCCTTCACGCGCTGCCGAGCCCCTCGGCTCGCCATGGCGAGCCTCAGGGAGAAAAGGTAGAATTCGGAGCCCTACGAAGTCGGAGAGCGCGGAGACATAGCTCTGGCTGGCAAACGGTGTCCGCCGAGGGACAAAAGACCTTGACATGCGCAGAAAAGACTAAATTATAGCGTTATTGGGTAAACTGGGGCAAATTCCTGAGCAGCGAAGAAATAGACTTTACTTTCCCTATCACAGCTATTCCTTCCACCTGCCTCTCACTCTGGGCATTCCTCCATCCTAACTCCCCCTTCACTTTCAGCATTCTCCACTCGCTTACAAAAACCGTCCTTCGGCTCCTCTATTTAAATGAACTCAAATAGACAGTGGTTAAACAACTACAAAATGAAGTGTGACGGACGAGGTATTCAGTTGAAGATCGCAGCACAACTGCCTACCAAAGGGGAGGTCCCTAAAAGGTCATTTAACACCGTGCCCTCTCTGTATTTTGGTGACAGTAACAGCCTACAGCTAGTAACTGCTTCAGAGAGACAAAACGTTAACGGCCGAATATAGACGAGAAGAAAAGTGAGACTGATGAATCTCTGTGCAGCAAATTGAATCAGACATCCGTCACTGTCATTGCACTGTGGTAGGCACTTTACATATTTTATCCTTTTTAAATTTAATACAACCGCTACCTTGTTTTATTGATAAGGAAACTGAGGCCCAAGGATGCATAGTTACTAAATGGTAGATCTATATTCCAACCCATGATTGTCTTACTACAAAGCCCATGCTCTTTCCACCAGATCAGGAGAAATCTGATTTCATACAGGCATTTTTGTACAGGCACACTGATAATATCACACCTGGGACTCTAAGGGGTTATTCATCTAATATTGACACTCTGTCCACTCCCCTAATCACAGAGCTCTAACCCTCTAGAGCTCTAGTATCCCACCCTCTAGAGCTCTAACTGGAACAAATTTATAGAGGGAGTGCTGAACTTGACAAAGTCCCAGAAGATTTCCTAGTAAAAATTCCCAAGTACTGAATATAGAGATTGATCATATTGCTCAATTCCCACTCTTCAGTTAACAAAGTTCAACCAGCTTAATTATATCTCACATATCCAGCTCCTCCTTTTCCTTTCACTCTAAGGCAGATCCCTCTACCCTCTATCTAGGACTACCATACCATAGCCTCTTTACAGGAATCTCCCATCTCAAATTCATACTGTGCAACACTATCCAATTTTCTAAAGTATTGTTCTCACTTCATCAAAAATCGCCTGATTTTTCCTATTGCCTGCCAAATAAAGTACAAACTTCTTATTCTAACATTGTCTTTCATGAACTAACTCCAGCCCCAATCTACCTTTCTAATTTTATTTCCCACTACTTCCTATACACACTTTACATTCCAACTAACCAGCCTGGGAAGTGCCCCAAATGCTCCCTTATCTATACCTCTGTTCATGTCCTCTGCCTGAAGAGCATGCCCTCCTTACCTAACAATTCTCCCCTGTCATATCCCTACCCTTGTTTTAAGATCCAGCTCAAATGCTACCTCATGCATGTACGAGGCACCATTGGGGATAGAAGAAAGGTATAAATCACATTACCTGCCCTCAATTAACTTATAATCTATGTGGAAAGCTAAGCAGTACATATCCATAAGAGATCCTGTGACTCTTTATTCCACTCCCCAAACTTAATCCTATGGCAGTTTTCTCATGCCAGTTAATGATACTTCTGTTCTTCCAGGTGCTCTGGTCAAAAACCCAGGAGTTCTGCTTGATTCTTCTGTTTCTCTAACCCCTCTCTCACCCACGCACCCACACATTTAATTCACCAGCAAGTCCTTCTAAATATTATTCAATCCAACAACTTCTTACCACCTTGCTCCAGATCACCATTATCTCTTATTTGCATTACTATAATAACCTCCTAGTTTATCTCTACTCCCATTCTTGCCTTCCCACATGCTTTTCTCCAAATACAAGAATAAAAAGACAGTCATTTCCTTCACAGAGCAGAGTTTACAATATGATTCCAATCCACGGAGCCTAATTATTAAAAGGATCATTAATTCACTTTAGAGTACCCCATCTGCAGAGTCCTGGGCTGAGTCAATTTCCCAGTGTCCCTTACAGATACTCATACCTCCCCAAATCTAGGGAGGCAAAATTTAGAGTTAATCACAGTTGAGAGATTATGGTTGAAGATCAGGGAAGAAGTAAAGTAACAGAGAGGCGCAGAAAGAACATGGACTTTAGAGTCAGAGAGACCCAAATGTTAATACTAAATCTGACATTTATTCGTTCCATGACTTAATAAAAATTATATGATGATATGATAATAATAATACGAATACTAATTATGGAATACTTGCAACTTACCAAGCTAATAAATGTTGGTCTGACTCCAAAAACCACCTTCCTAAATTGAATTAGTGAAATAATACAATAAAGAGAAGAGGAATTAACAGTGTGAAAAATATATTTGATAAGACACCCAAGTTCTACTGCCTTTTCAACGACAGGGCATCTAAAGTACACAGATGCCATTTTATTTGTTGTCTTAGTCATTATTCAAGACCAAACTATTGCACAACTCCAAACATCACCAATCACATTATAGTCTATGAGTTTAAGTGACAGAGTCAGAGGTATCTTTAAGGTCAACCAACAGTGGCTATGATTACAAAGTAAAAGATTTTACAAAAAAAAAAACAAAAAACAAAAAACCAGTCCAGACAGGACTACCAGTTGCATATCTTTAAGGTCAACCAACAGTGGCTATGATTACAAAGTAAAAGATTTTACAAAAAAAAAACCAAAAAACAAAAAACCAGTCCAGACAGGACTACCAGTTGCAAGTTGGTCATTTTTTTCCACACCCGCATCAATGATGGATCACACTGTAGAAATGAATTTATTAAACTACCGAAGTGTAACATGTAGTCGTTGATGAATCTCCTTCCTAAACTGGGACTGCATTGATGCTACCTGCTGCTGGGTGAGGGCCTTGTCACAGGTCTGGTAGGTCAATCTATAGCAGAGACTGACCTGTTTCGTCTTTGGATGATGAAAACGACTAAGGAATTGTATGGATATAACAGTGTTCTGGGACACTGCTCGGGCCACGGTATGAAACTCTAGTTCATCAAATCCTTTCTTCTCATCTAACCAAAAACTAATATCATGCACATAGCATGGAGGATACAAGGAATAGCTTTTAAAGGGTTCTGTTTTTCCAGAGACAAAATTTTTCAGGAAACGGTTATCGAAGGTCCACAATATTCTCCAGTCAGAGATACCTGAAACAAGCATGGCTAATAAGTCCAAGTTTATAGACACAAACAAAAAACACTGGTCTTTATGTATAATGCTTGTAGCAGAAGCGGTGACAGACCCAATAATCAGATCCTTGGCACAATCTGGGCCAAAATTATGAGATTTCATACAAATCATATAATCTTTTCTATTTGGTTGAAGGACAAATTCCACTGAACTCAGCTTAGAGCCCTCCAGCAATGTCTGGGTCAGAAGGCTATCTAGAATGCCCTTCAGGTAATCCATCAGTGACTGAAGACAGCCATCCTTCAGATTTTGATTAAACCCAAGGATAAGTAAAGTCTCATGAAATGCTGGCATTGTGAAAGGCAGGATGGGGCACTTCTGAAAGACAGGTCCACTTAGGATGTGCAGAGAACCTGGCAGGAAATCTGGTGCTTGGATGACAGCCTGAACATGAACTAAGAGAGAAGGTCTAAGGCAGACCTTGGGTTGGCCACAGATTCCTTCATTAACTTCTTTACCATCTTTTCCAGGACTCCTGGGAAGGCTAAGTTCTGAAAATGACACTAGGAAGTCCTCCATATCTTGTGTTGTCCCACCAGTCAGGGACTCAGAATTTGAGTTATCTTCACAAAGAGTAATCCGAAAGGCAGCAGATAGAATGTCACAGTTCGAGGAAGGGAGAACACTGGTGCATTCCTGTAGCAGCAAAGGGAAGGAACATTTCAGCCTTTTTAGAGGGAAAGCTTTGCCCAATTCAGCAATGAGTTTCTCATTTATGGTTTTGACAGGATGATACGAACATGCTTCCAGGAAACCCCTGTTTAAACACACAAAAAAATAAATTTTCTAACTTGCAATAATAAATAATTATAATGTAACTAGAATTAAAAACACAGATGGCTATATAAAAAAGAATTATCCTTAAGTTGATCCTGAAAGGAAACAAAGATATCATCTACCATAAGGAGAGATATCATGTTTCAGAACTCTGACAGCCACCATCCCCACAATATACCAGAAAATATGACAATTTTTAATTCTAAAAAGGCTTGAGGAGGCCAGACTGACAAATATTCACAGCACCAACATCATTACGAATTTATGTACCATCCATTCAATTACATGTCTTGTCTGCCATCAAGACCATCAGGATACAACTGGAGAAGGAAGTGGTTTCCAGCAAAATAACAGGTTACCTGTTCAACTTTCCTACAAGTGCTTCTGGTTCTGGAAAGGAAAACCACTGGTCACCCAGTTTGATCCTGAAGATTCTGGGTTGAGAAACTTCAAAGGGTAAGCTCCGGGTGAAGATATGGTTCAAAGCACCTTCTACATGAAAAGACTTATCTTGACTCCTGGCAAAATACACACCAGTATGAAATCTGTCATTATTAAAGAAAGCAAGTATTTCTAGAGACTCAATCTAGAAATCAGGAAATTGGCAGGGGAAAAGTCTGCCTATGACATTTTTTTATCATTAGTAAAAGAGATGAAAAAGGAGAAGGCTTAAACCTATGTTATTACTTACCTATATCCAGTGCACCGATACCCTGGAACAGCCTCACAGCTGAAGGGATGCACATCACTTAAAATGAGCCCTCCCAGAGCTGCCATGGCAACCACTTGCCAACTGTTGTGCCATTCTCTCTGGGGATTATCAGCAGGAGTCCCACCTTGTCCTCTACACAGTGCCACATGCACTTCTCCTTCTTCTGCAAGAATATCTGCACAGCTGATGGGGGAAAAACACCAACTACTTAGAAGCAAGTAGAAACTACCACAGAAGTTAGCAATATACTCATGGTTTCACTATGAAATAATTAAAATCCAATTATACCTATTTGCAAAGGTCTATTAGACTTCAAACATGCAAAGAAAGTAGCCAAGAGTAATTAAGAATGTAAATTAAATGTTCAAACCACTAACTGATTGAGGCTGACCAGTGTGTCATCCCATTTTGCATTTGTGTTGTTCATCTATATGTCACAGAAAGGTCAAAGTCTGCAAAGTTCCTATATATGATTAACTGCTTAGGCCGCTTATCCCCATTTAGAAAGTTCTTTTCGCTGCCTTCCTGCCAATTAAAATTCTATACTTAAAATATTAGTTTAAAATACTGCCTTGTGGAAAGTTTCTTGAAAACTATGACCCGCAGGACACCTACAATAGTATCATGTATTTTGCTATAATAGTGTCCAGCCCTGTTTTAAATTCCCACTAATTTTATGAGGTA